ACTTTAGCTTGTTTGGCTGGTGTCGGTTTGACCTCCTCTTCTTCATCTGAATCAGAGTCTTCTTCGCTGCTGCTCTCTTTAGCTTGAACTGGTTTAGCCTTGCCATTAGCCACACCGTTGGCTTTGCCATTCTTCACTGGTGTTGGTTTAACAGCGACTTGTTCCTCTTCACTGCTATCGTCTTCACTGCTGCTTTCTTGTTTCTTGACAACGACTGGTGCACCCTTTTTCGGTTTGGCATCCTTTAATGTATCAAACGTGGAATTATTTTTGATGTCTTCCGACAGAAATTGTTCATAGTTTTTTTGCCGTTGATCCAATACCTTTTTGTTGGGTGTATCAACAACTTTTGCCTTTTTCTCGTTGGCAACCAAAACGCCATCTTTCAATTCAGCCCATGGTGTGGCCTCTTCTGGTTGTTGCTTACGTTTGTTTCCTTTAACTTTAGCAACCATTTTGTCTAAATAGTCAACTGAAACGAAAGATTCAATAAAATTCATTGATATTTCCTTTCCAAAGCAAGTTATTTGTTATATCATCAGAAGATAAGAGGTAAAAATCATGTCCGGAATGGAAGAAAAAATGTGCGTAGAAAAAAATCACTCACGTTGTTTTACTCGTAGAGGTTAAGAGTTGGAAAAATGTGTCGGCAGTAAATAAAATTCGGCAGAAAAAAATTGATTTCGATAAAAATTCACTTTCTTCAAATGTTCACAATTAACACAATTACTTGTTTGCAAAAAATCCCGATGGAGAATCACACTTTTTCACGTTTTTTTTCAAACGATTAATTTGCTTGTCGCAATAATGTGTGTATTCCGCATTAAGTTCGGGAAGGTAAAGGACCAACACGAGTTTCTTTTTCATACACATAGGAATTCACAACTTGATAAAACGAAAACATAAATACAGCCAATGTTCGAACGTAGCAACTCATTTTCTCTCGCTCACATCATCAAAACCGACTGTGCGGCACATACAATTAACGCATGGTGAGTGAGACAGACGTATGTGCACTCGTCGAACAAGGCACGAAAAACACATGGTTTTGATGAACGAATTCAGTATTTTCAGTGTGGTAATTTGAAATTGAATGCCATCAGCGCTGTCTGTGGCGAAAAAAAACCGATTTGACACTTTATGCTGGTCTCGTTCACATCTCAAATGAATCCGAATATTGTTAATATGAAATCAAACATATTTTTCTTTGTTATGGAAATATAATCATTTTATTAAATTCTAACATGGTTTTTGTCTTTCATTTTTTTTCATCTTTGTTAAATATAAATCTGTAGGATTACTAACGCAATTTTATATATTGCAATGGTTAAAACTTAAAAGAATACATATTTGAAATCACCCGAGTGTGAAAACTGAAGGTATAACATCATTATGCGTTGTATGTGCGTATGAAGGTCTTTTCACATTCACACGCACACACAACGAAATGGTTTTGGTTTCCAATTATTTTTTTTTAAATCTGCATAACAGATCTGTCTTAGTAGGTTAATAAACAGAAATTTCTTAAAATATTGCGTATGGAATATCGGTGCTTGAGGTTGATGTACTGGATATGCGTTGCTTATTTGGATAAATGCAAAATAGAGCGAGCTGAGTGCCTGAGAGTAATGCTCCAAGGAGATTCGGAATTTGCAGGAATAAATCTTTTGCGATGACACCAAATGCGAACCATTGAACCGATCCGATGAATGACATTAGGATCAATGGAAGTGGCAGCATTTCGGTTGATTTTTTTCGGAACACTTCCACTAGCATACAACAAGGGGCCGCAAAGAATAACACTGTTATCACACAACATATATAGCCTAGAGATCATGTTTGAAAAAAAAACGGGTTGATTGAACTTTTTCGACCAGTTGGCCATGGAAAGAAGCTATTTTTAGCGTATTTTCAAGCGATTATCGCAAATTATCGTTGAAAACTCACCAACAACTTCAATGGCTTCAGCTCGATTTTCTTCATAATACTCGGTGTACGAGAGTACAAAGCCAAGCACAAGAATAGCACCGAAAAACTGGCGATAAAGGGCACTTGAACTGACGGAAAACATCCAAAATACTATAAAATAGCTGAAGAACAATGTGGCTCCCACTGTGTTGACCAAAATGACCGTTTTTTCATTCGCCAGTATGCCATATTTCAACCATAAGCTGCAGCTGCAATGGAAATTTACAAACAGATAAATAATATTGATTGCAATTCAATAATAAAATTAATTGGCCAATGATCGTAGCCTCTATTGCGTCAATTGTATCATAAAAACCATTTTTTTTAAAGAAAACCTTTTTGACTTACGATAGGAAGCCGCAAATAAATGGAAACGCTGATGAGTCACCGGTGCTTTTGTTCTGTATGAATTTTCGACATACTAACCTGATAACGAGAACATTTGAACAAGTGCAAAACCATTTAAATTCAGTGTTTGTTTGTGTATAAATAGACATGATCAAATACATACGCTCCCGATAAGAACTGCAAGAATGTTGTTGTTACAGTTGAAGCACTGAGCACCGCAACCATTGTAATCATATTGTCCTGGTTGCGAAAGAAATGTTCCAATCGGTCAAACATTTAACTGGAATTTTTTCCGGATTTATTTTATAAAAAAAAAAAATTTCTCACATGCACAATTTTTCTTCTTCACCGCAATAATTCCGTCCGACAAATGATAATCGAAAATTTTTTAAATCGTTGTACAGCCTCTTTGTTTTAGCTGAAATAAAAAAAAAACTTTCATTCACTTGTCCCTTTTATTCTTGGCCGCGTTCTCGACGTGTCATTGTAGATGAATTGCCCATATATACACAACGATTCAACGTTCGCTACTACTCGCGCAATTAAAGTCAATGCACAACGTAGGCAACGAAGCCATCTGTCTAATAGAGTATATACATTGGACCCATCATCATCATATGAATGTAAATAAAAACAAATTGGTGAAAATACAACACGATATCAACGTAGTGTGTTGAATATACGGAATAGGCGATATGTCAAGATGTTGTATTTTGTTACATTTGACAGATGTAAATGCCGAACCCCAAAACACATGCTCGCACCGAGAGGCAGCGAAAGAGCAACTGTCAACGTTGAGAAAACACGAGAAATATGGCGCATTTGTCTATCAATAGAAACTAGCGTGTTATGCAATGAACCAACAACTATAGAACTTTTAATTCTTTTAATTTTTTCTTTGCCATTTCTATCAAAATGGAGCGAGTTATGTGGATAAATAATTTTGTTAATAGTAGAAATCGACTTTTATTCCGTTGTCCGATTTATCGAAAATTCGGATGTAGTGAACGCAATATAAATACAGTGAAAAATTATAACTCAGGTACTAAATTTTAACAGATTTTCCAATTCTGAATGAAATGGCTAAATTTTTTTATCATTGTTTCAGTGACGAGGCAACCATTATTTTTAAATCACATCAATTGCCGGCAAAAAAGTTCAGCAGCCGATGGAAATATTCAAAAGTTTAAATTAAAGCCTGCTGTACGTGACAAATTTCGCAGATTTAGAATGTTAAAAACAAATGTCACACAAGGTATGAGTGGAAAAATGGATCAATTTTAATCCATTTATAAATTATTATCTTGATATACTGGCCTATAGGCTAAAATTCGAATAATAATTCAACTTTTTCAACATTGAACTCTTTGCAGTAACTGAGTCGTCTTCATCGCAAGTGCAACAATCAGTGAAACTGTTAACGGGAGGAAAACTACCGCGATTCATGAGTGAACAAATGCCAGAAGTAAAAACGAGTCTTGAACAACAACTGTTGCGGTTGAATGAAGAACCATTGCTTAACATGCCCGAAAAATTTCGAATGGCATTAGGAACCAATTCAGAATTGTTAGAAAAATTTAGAAATAGTTTTGAAAGTTTTCTTCGTGCAAACCCATTGCAGCCAGCAGTTGTAGAAGAAGAAAAAATAATAGAAAAAGTCAAACCATTGCCTAAGACAGACACTGAGCTTCAAAAGGAGTATGAACCAATCAAACAAAGATCGTTAAATCAAAACTTAAAGTGTTATATCAATGCATGCATAAATTCGGAATTGACGGAACGTGCCTTTGCCGTGCTAATGTCTATTCGGCAAACCAATCCATCGCGAAAATATAAATTTATACTCAACGATCCCGAATTGTACAATGATTTAATGACAAAATATTCAAAGCTACGTAAATGGCCGCGTGTGAATCATATCTACAACATATTGATTGCTGAAAATATTCCAATCACACCACAAGTTTATATGAATGTACTGGATTGCTTGGGCCGAATGAATGATTCGGAAGAAAACTCTAGTCTAATTAAGAAATTTATTGAGAAAGCTGAAGATCAGGTAAAATTTATTCATATTTCAGCAGTCAAAGTAAGTGTTGTTCAGGTTTGATACAGTCTTTTTCCATAAAATTGCAGGGCATTTCCTTGAATGATATCATGGATAAGTCGAAATTCATTCAAGATCAACGAAAATATGTACTGAAAGCCATTTGGAAGGTTCGTTTTTCATTCAAGCCCGTTTATACGCCACCTCAACTGGGTTACACAAACAAATTGCTCGATTCGTTGAACGAAGATATCGAAAGTATTGAGGTGAAACCCAATGAATTTGTAAGTTTCAAAACCATTAGAAAATTATCACTGAAAAATGTATCTGATCTATTGAAAATTGTGATTCCACAGCTGAATTCGCAGACAGAACATCCGATATCAAAGCCGAAGAGTGGATTCACTCCTGAGCAATTGGGTGCATACACAGCGGAGCAAATTTTGAATGAAACAGAGGGCCATATTGACGTAAAAAATGTCACAATGATGGATTCATCGAAATACTTGAATGAAAGAGTGAAATTGCATCGTGAAATCTTGGAAAAAATGACCAAACAGTGGCAAGTCGATATTGCCAATGCCATTCGAAAGAAACTGAATACTTTACAGCATAAAATGAATACCAAATCCACAAAATCAATTAACATTTACCCGTACCTGCGTCTATTAACGCCTGAACAATACACGGAAATTTTGATCGATGAACTAAAATCATTGGCACTAAGTTGTGAATTGTATTCGCCGACTGTTGTTCATATCTATGGCGGATTAGGTGAAAAGGTGATGCACAAGTATCAGATGAAATTCCGTGAGCAAAATGGTGTCAATGAAAAAATAAGGAAACTGCACAAAACGTACCGAGAAATTTTGTGCTCTGGAATATGCTCTGATAACCCCCGCCAATTATGGCAACGGATCATTCATCATTCGCGCCACACAGGACCATGCATCTTCCAAAAACACATTAATTGGCCGTGGGGAGTGCGTTGTGACATTGGACGTAATCTGTTCAAAATTTTACTGGAAAATATTAAAATTGACGCAAACCTTCTGGATCCGAAAAGCAGCCAAGTCAACTTAGCACCCGTTGTATATTCACTCTTCCGAAACCGAGATCTTGTGTCACGCGAAGAAATTCGGCCACATCCAGTTTTCACACAGCTGTTGCGTGAGTCAAAACAAGAGATCATAAAATTCAAAACGAACGAAGTGCCAATGTTGTGCCCGCCAATGCCATGGACATCAGCAGAAAGTGGTGGCTACTTGCACCTACACACGATTTTACTGCGATTGCCACCTCAGTACACATATCAAAATGACCTAGTGAGTCAAGCACCACCAGAACAATTGTACCCACCATTGGATGCTTGCAATCAACTGGGCAGCATACCATGGCGTGTGAATACGAAAATTCTGGATTTGGCAATAAAAATCTTTAATCTTGGCGGAGATAGAAAACTCGATGTTCCTTTGACACCAGATGACATGCTCACCGATGATCATCTTCGATATCGTGGTGTAACGAGAGCACAAATCGAACGACAGCGAAATGTAAACGATGAGAAATACCGACAAAAACAAAATGAATTGATGAGCATGTACTCGGATACGCTTTATAAACTCTCGTTGGCCAATCACTTCCGAGATCGAGCATTTTGGCTGCCAACAAACATGGACTTTAGAGGAAGAAGCTATCCAGGTGATTGACTTTTAGATTTTCAAATTATCATGAATTTTAGGCTAACATTCAATTTTTGTTCTACAGTACCTCCCCATTTAACACATTTGAGCGCGGATCTAACACGTTCAATGCTGTGCTTCCATCAAAAACTACCACTGGGTGAATCTGGATTAGACTGGCTAAAACTGCACTGCATCAATTTGACTGGTTTGAAGAAACGAGAATCGATTCAGGATCGATTGGCGTATGCAAATGAAATCATTGACGACATTTTGGATTCAGCTGATAATCCGTTGGATGGGCACCAGTGGTGGTTACAATCTGATGAACCTTGGCAAACATTGGCTGCTTGTATGGAAATTGCTAATGCGATGCGTTCACCAAATCCAGCAGAGTTCATGAGTGGCTTCCCAATTCATCAAGATGGTTCTTGTAATGGGTTGCAACATTATGCTGCGCTGGGTCGTGATATTGACGGTGCAGCTAGGTAATAAACTAACATCCAATATTCAAACTTATTGTTAATTTTTTGTCATTAACCGTTTTTGTTTCGGACGTTTAGTGTGAATCTCTCACCATCCCGAGTACCACAAGATGTGTATTCGACCATTGCCGCCCGAGTGGAGGAGCTTCGAAAGATAGACGCTAGCAATGGTGTGCAAGTGGCTGCCGACTTGGAAGGATTAATCAAGCGGAAGATTGTCAAACAAACCGTCATGACCACCGTATACGGTGTAACAGCCTACGGAGCCCGATTGCAAATCAAAAAACAATTGAAAAACATTGATTTTTCATCAGAATCATTGGGACAAGCGTCCGCTTATTTAACACGAAAAACATTCGATAGCTTATCAGAGATGTTTACATCCGCTCGAGAAATCCAAGATTGGCTTACGATAGCTGCTCAATACATCTCAAGTAAATACCGATCGAAACACGTGGAATGGACCACACCGCTTGGTTTACCAGTCATTCAACCATATACACGAGATTCTAAACTACTATCAAACGCAACGATCAAAACGCTTTACAATGAAAAAGGTGTGAATCGACTCAAAGAGAAAAATGCTTTTTCGCCCAATTTCATTCACTCCCTCGATTCATGCCATATGATGTTGACATCGTTGAATTGCGAAAAGGTCGGCACAACATTTGTTTCAGTTCACGATTGCTTCTGGACACATCCAAGCACCGTGTCAGTCATGAATCGCATATGTCGCGAACAATTCATCCTACTACACTCGCAACCCATTCTCGAAGATTTGGCTGAAAGCTTCTACCAGAAATATGAAATGTAAGTACAAAAAATTATACTTATTCAATTGCACAGGTTGTGATTGTTGTACATTGGAAAATCGAAAAACTTACTTTACAAATTCAATTTTTGTTCTTATTTTGCAGCGAATTCCGAGATAAATATCCCGAAGTAAATATTCTGAAAAAGAAAAAGAAGAAGACCACCACCACCACCACCACCACCGGCACAGCTACGGAAAATATTGATCTTCGGGGTGTTCCGAAAAATGAGCATATTTTCATGAAACTTCCGAAAAAGGGCAACTTTAAATTGAAGAGCGTTCTAGACTCCATTTACTTTTTCAGTTAAAACGATTGAAAATTGTTACCAAAAAACCCGACTGTTACAATGTGATATTAAATGAATGCAAAATATTAAGCAATATTATTAATTTGGTTTGTTTTATTCGGATATTTGTGGAAATACTTTCTGCAATATGATGATAAGTAAGGGATTGAAAGTGCATCTCAAAGCGCAAACTTGAAAGAACTTTGACATTGCTGATAAAGTTTTTTTTTCTTTGCTTGACCGACATTTGATACGGATCGTACGTTGCAGGCATTTTGGCAGATGCTGTTTTTACCGGTATCGATACGTCTAAAGCTGATGAGTACACACCGTGTATCTCAACAATTTTCCTCAGTCAAAATTCTCCGACCGTTTCGATATGCGGGCTGATGTGATTTTTATTGGCGAAGGAGGACTTCTTTACAGTAACTACAGAGCAAAACAAAATAAAAAGCCCTTCACACGCCTTCCCGATTACGTTACGGATGCTCTACTTGCGAAAACTCTTCCTAAAGAAAATCCGCCGAAGAAATGGTTTCGAAAGAAATTGGGTGGTGGAAGTCGAGCAAGACGAAAAAAGATAAATTCGCTCAAAGAACACAGGGCAAAAAATCAAAAAATTATGAAATAAACGCCAAAACAGAATTTAAATCAAGTTTTACTTTTTTTTTCTCTTTATTTTTAATAAATAAGTGAGTTCGTCAATAATTCTTTTTTTAAATTTGTCAAGGTAAAGTTTAATCAACAGTATTATTACGAGAAACAGATTTGTTTAGTATAATTAGATTCTTGTGGCTGTTTTGTGTGTTGTTTCGAATTTTTTCTTTAAATGTTTTATTTGTAGCGGGTTTATGTTTAAAATTGTTCTTCAAAGATATCTTCTTAAATGGTAATTATTGCAAAAATTCAAGGTTCACCTATACTTGTGTGAGTGTGTTGTTGGTTCGAGACCAAATTTGTCTACATTCAAAATTGTCTAATTGTATCAAATACAACAAATTTTCGGTTAATTGTTCAAAATATTCTGTAGCTGTATGTATTTTTCTTTTTCTTCTATTTTCTTCTGTCACCGAGGCAATGCCTCACTCTCTAAATAAATTCATCAAAGAATACTCAAAATAATCAATGCTTTTGAAACTTGAATAGAAAGAGAAACAACCATAAATTGCTTGATTGATTGAATTTTTTTCTTAACATTTTTTTTTAAGTTTTGCTTTTTAATTCATTTTATGAATCTGAATTGAAATTGAACTATACACGAATAAATATTTGACGGGACAAGTGTTTTCGATTTGCACCATATGATAATATTTCACAAATTATACTCAAAAATGTACACAGCATTCGACATGCGTAATAAATCACGTCGTTAAATGAACTCGTTGATTATACAGCTCTTACAGATAACATTTGCGCCACTGATCATTTCAATTCAAATGCTTGAATTGAAACTGATCATCATCGTTGTTAAGTGCATATGCAAAACATTTGCTACGTAAAATATTCAAAAGTGTCCGCATTTTTTGTGTTGCTGTTGTTGTTTATTATGATTTAGGTTTTAAATATACAATTAACTACTTTTTGACGAAAGAACAATCTGTTTACCTATACATCATCACATCAGTTTGATACATGCACATATAACCGTCACAAAACAGCCGCTTTGCGTGCTCTGGCAACGATTTATCACTAAGATAACGTTCATTAAGCTCCTTCGAACCCTCTTCGGATAGCCATAATGGTAAATTTGGCACCGAAATTACTTCAGGAATATTGTAGCCATTTTGTTCACCTTGACCGTGGGAAAAAAATACCGGAAATTATTAGCATGAGGTAAGTAATTCGTACGTAAAATATTGTTGGTTAAAATGCAATGGAAAAATGTGGATTTTCTTTTGTCAAAATTCAATGAAAAATCAGAATTGTCTTGTCTCTCACCTTTTCTGTCGGCCATCGAATCAAAGAAACACCAGGGTGCATCGGCACCAGAGCCACATTTCACGAAGGCAACGTAATGTGACGTTTCAATGCACACAACCGCAAATAGTTCCATGAAAATGCGCGGCACCGTTATATGATCGGCCATAATGAGAAAATCGTGTGGCACTTTAAGCTCTTGTGGGATATGATTTGTCCTACGATCATGTGAATGCACTTTGTCCAAACAAGTTCGACAGAAACTTGTCGTCTCTAAACCAGCTCCAAATTGTAATGAGCCAAAGCATTGTTTGCACTCCAATTCGGCCAATTTACCACATACACAACACTGACGAGGTGCTAAAAGACAGAAAATTCGTTATTTCACTCAAATATTCGATATAATGTTTGAAAAAAAAATGATTAAAAATGGTGAATAAAAGCGTGATGCTTACATCCTTCGATGACATCGGTAACATCTAATACTTGAGATGGTAAAATGCGTGGATACATTTTGAAATTTTTGCCAAACCGTGGCATTTGGATGATCAAACACGAAGGGACTTCCTTCAGTTTGATGTCTGACGCAAGAAAACTCTGCTCAAACAATTGTTGTACGGTTGGAAAATTCAGTCGCTCATCTTTCTCCACAAATAGTTGGTAGTAAAATGCATCTTGACCTGAATTTAACTGTAAAATTGAACGAATAAAAATTAGAATAGAAATAATTCAAAGTGAAAATGTGCAAGCAAGCCGAAGCATAACAGTTGTGAAGACAAATTTACCTTTAGAAATGGTTCAGCTCGCATGATTTGTGTCAATAAACTGTTGAGAAATTCTTCTGGATCTTTTTCTTCGCACGTAAGCCCAGTCACTGAACTCAATCGTTCCAACAATTGTCTCAGCTTCATCACACGATCGGCACGAACAAATAAATTCCTTCGAAGCGGATTCACAATCTCCTCTCGCAATACTTTCTGTACTTCGCCATAGCTTACAATGTCCTAAAAATAGGTGAACAAATAGCGGTGTTAATACCAACAAAGAACAATATTGACAAAAGCGTTCACAAAAAAACACTCTTTGTTGAAATATCGCTGAATCATACCTCTGGATCAGCCGGTCTGAAGAGTAATGAATCAAACACACAGGTAAATGTGAACATTGCAAATAACGTTGCATCCAAATAACATGAATTGTAGTGGCCTTGAATGCCTTTGAATTTGCCAGACACTTTTTCGAGCTCTTGAAGTTTTACAAATTCTACAAAAGTGAGATAAAGTTCAGTTATTGCAATAAAACTCATTTCAATCGATGTTATTTGTAAACCAACAACAAATGAAGTTCTGAACAAGCTAATCAAGCTTTAAAATTACGCACTTAACGGTACGACCGACCCTTCAATTATCGGGCAATCAATGTGACCGAAATTTTCGGCCGCTTTCCGTTCGCTCTCATACAGAGATTGTGACGGTGGCTTCACATCTTGGAATCGTCGATCAACTGTGCATTGCTGTGGTTCCACGAATAGTGCTCTTCCCGGAGGACATGTAAACAATCTGACCCCGTTTATTGTGCCATCATCGACTGTTTGTGTTGGAAGTTCATCTTCCAGTTCAACGCCAACCATAAGAATTTTTGTACACGGTAAATGTCCGATCCATCTGATCACGCCGTAAATATTCTCACAATTTTCACGAGTTATCTACGAGAAAATAGTTCATGTCATTCGAAATAGTCGGTTAAAAATAGACAAAATGAACTGTTAAAACCTACCTCAACCATTGATCCAATGTCCAAATTCAGTTTCAACAAGTGATCCGATTTCGCAACAACCGTCGAGACGGCTGACTTCGATTTTGCTTTGTGTCCGCCGTGAAAATGATTTGTTTCATCTTTTTCTATTGAAATGAAAATAAAATCGAAAGTCAATCAAAGTACTTAACTAGATTTTTCGTCACAAGATTCAACCTTTTCGATGACCATTGATCTTGGTCACAGGTGGCGTGTGTTTCCCATTGCAAAATTCGAGCACTGTCAATGGAATGTGATCATTATCGTAGTATTTGTATTCCATCGAACTCTCTATTCTAATCGTTATCCAATCGAGAGAAAAAACTACTTCGTCTTACAAAAGGGCTATTAAATGTTTGCCAAAGTTCAGTCGAAGTGACAGCCAAAATAAAATCACTGAGTCAAATTAAAATACACGTCTATAATTAGACCGAATGTCTGTTCGAAGCCGCGCACCGACTGATTGTGCTTTTTTTTGAAAATAAAAAGACGAGCAAATTGCTCAAAGTGTTGTGCGTTTTTCTGAGTCAATGTTTACGTTACGCATGCGCTTTTTTAAATCATAAAATCGCTGTTTATGCTCAAACGAAATGTATCGCTGGTGAAAGGATAATCCAAAGTATTGGCGCGCTTAAAACGCAAAGTCAAACAATATCACAGCCTGAATTATTATACTCACTTGGATTTGAGTCAAACGATCCAGATGCTGAGCTACCGTCCGAATCCAAATTGATTAGATTGCCGGTGGTGACAAAGTTGTTTGTATTGCTGCTTGCATTCCGTTTGGTGATTTTGGACTGGCCAATGTGTGACAATGGGTTCCTCGACCGATTTCGTTCGACGGAATACGTGTTTCCGTTCGCTTGCTGTTGACAACTAATTGATGAATTGCTTGTACTTGTGCTACCACTACTAAAATTGTACGGTGCCCCGCCACTCGTTCGATTGTTCAATGCTAATGCTAAATCGCCCGCCGATGCGGGCCAACTGGTTTCCGTCAATAATTCCGCTAAATCTATATCACCAGATGCCTTTTGATGCAATTTTCGTGGTTTTTCCACAACAATGACTGTGGCCTCGTTGCTCGTTGACTCTTTGTAATCCGCATTATCAATGACAACAATATCACGGTCTTCTAAACTCAAAATGGTGTTTGGTTTCACATTTGCTGCACTTGATGCAGTCGATGAAACAGGTCGTTTCGATGATAATGACCTCGAACTCGATCGATTCGAAGCTGTTGTTGTTGTTGCTGTTGTTACTGCAGCTGCACTCGCACCCTTTATTCCATTCATATCTGAATTTTGTGCTGCCAACGATTTGTGATAAGATGCATTCGTTTCGTTTGTCTTTTTATCATGCTGATTATTCGGGATTAAATACTCTTTTTCATCATAATGATTATTTGTATTGTTCAACAACCTTGATTTTGGCATTCTCTCAACGCTACTATATTGTACGTGAAAGTTATGATTTATCTTGTTATTTTCACACAACTTTTCACTTGATCTGGGACTAAACACTTTTACGTAAACATCGCAATAACAATATTAACACTTGCCACACTTCCTGCTTAGAATGATTGAGTTATTTATCTAGTTTTGCTGTATTTTTGATTCATTCCATTCATCACAGCACTTTGAATGCAAAGAAAAAGAGAGAAAAAAAGTACACAAACTTACATGAAAATACAATCGCAATTTGTAAATAATAATTCTCTGTACATATTTCTGTCAAGTCGGCATTAGTTTGGGCGACCGACACCGGGCGGCGCATGTGTGTAGAAGGTCGTTTCGATGCATTTTGGATTTTGTTGCAGAAATAGTGAACAAGGAATAAGGTTTTTTTGTATCTATTTCAATTGGAATTTAATTGAAAATAGTTAAAATTCCAATCTGGTTCATCTGTGAATCATTTCCAAACATTAAATATTCCAGTAGATTTCATTTAACATTTCTCATTGAATATCATTCAATTTATACTTAACGCTGACGAACTGTCATCGTACTCAATATGATAGACATCTGGCAGAACACTGACAGCCGCATCAATTCAGAAGCGAAGAAGTGATTATTGCGATTTGGCGTGCTTCGTACAGTCACACATATTTTTTCTAAAAATTACCATTGGAAAAGTGTTTTAGATATTAGTTTCTGTTTGTAACGTGATAAATTAAGCAATATGTACGAAAATGAAGAAGGTAAATATTGAAAATATGCCGCATAGTCCATGTAGAAATTAAATCGAATCCGACCTGTGCAACGATGCCATACCGGTTGAACACAGCCATTGTTATTCACAGTTTTGAATAGACTCGACTGCCCCTGAACAAACAAAACATTCTATATCTTTCGTTTTCACATGATTTTGGATGGAGAATTTGACGCAAACTTAGAGAAAACTCTAAGCAAGCTAGAAAAAGTGGATATTTTACTTGAGTTTGAAATTATTTGTATGACGGAAGATAAATTCAACGCTATTTTCATAGTTATTTTGCCAATGAAAAGCTATTGCGCAATTAAATGCAATTTCTTTTCGAATTTTACTGCAAAGTTGTGGTTTTTGGAAAAATATTTGCCATTTTATGTAGTCAATTGCAATAAATTGTATTTCTAGAAACCTACGAAGATGAGAATGATGAGGAGATTTCACATGAACTGTGGCAGGAGGCGTGTTGGATTGTCATCAACTCCTACTTCGATGAAAAAGGTTTGGTGCGACAACAGCTCGACAGTTTCGATGAATTTATTCAGGTTTGTATTGTTTCCACGCAACAAATATTAACGAAATGTGCAATTTAATTGAATCTCAACACATTTCGCAATAGATGTCTGTGCAACGAATTGTCGAAGACTCACCGGCCATTGAATTGCAAGCCGAAGCTCAGCACACGTCTGGAGAAATCGAAACACCGGTAAAAAAAATCATTTTTTACTTCTTAGTGAAGTGATTACAGCGAAAGTTGTATGATAAAACCCAATTTTTGTTATTTTAGCCTCGTTTCGTTTTGAAATTTGATCAAATTTACTTGTCAAAACCGACACATTGGGAAAAAGATGGTTCACCAAGTCCTATGATGCCGAACGAGGCCCGTTTACGAAACTTAACCTATTCAGCGCCACTGTACGTCGACATAACAAAAACGAAAATTGTCGAAGGTCAAGATGCGATTGAAACACAGCATCAGAAGACGTTCATCGGAAAGATTCCCATTATGTTGCGTTCCACATACTGTTTGCTATTCTCATTGACCGATCGTGATTTGACCGAATTGAACGAATGCCCATTGGATCCCGGCGGCTATTTCATCATCAACGGTTCGGAAAAAGTGTTGATTGCCCAAGAGAAAATGGCCACAAACACTGTGTACGTGTTCAGTATGAAGGATGGTAAATATGCGTTCAAGACTGAGATTCGTTCGTGCTTGGAACACAGTTCACGGCCAACGTCAACGCTTTGGGTGAACATGATGGCGCGCGGTGGACAGAGTTTGAAGAAATCAGCAATTGGTCAACGTATAATTGCCATTTTACCGTATATTAAACAAGAAATTCCCATTATGATTGTATTCCGAGCGCTTGGTTTCGTCGCCGATCGTGATATTCTCGAACACATCATCTATGATTTTGACGATCCCGAAATGATGGAAATGGTTAAACCGTCACTCGACGAAGCGTTTGTGGTGCAAGAACAAAATGTCGCATTGAATTTCATTGGTGCGAGAGGAGCACGGCCTGGTGTCACGAAAGACAAACGTATCAAATACGCGAAAGAAATTTTGCAAAAAGAAATGCTGCCACATGTCGGCGTGTCAGATTTCTGTGAGACGAAAAAAGCATATTTTCTTGGTTACATGGTGCACCGATTGCTGTTGGCATCATTGGGTCGTCGTGAATTGGACGATCGAGATCATTACGGTAACAAACGTCTTGACTTAGCCGGTCCATTGCTCGCCTTCTTGTTCCGCGGTCTATTCAAAAACCTGATGAAAGAAGTGCGAATGTATGCTCAAAAGTTCATCGACCGAGGAAAAGACTTCAATTTGGAATTGGCCATCAAAACGAAAATCATCACCGACGGTTTACGTTATTCCCTGGCCACTGGCAACTGGGGCGATCAGAAAAAGGCGCATCAAGCTCGTGCTGGAGTATCACAGGTGTTGAACCGGTTGACATTCGCTTCGACACTGTCTCACTTGCGTCGTGTCAACTCGCCGATTGGTCGAGATGGTAAATTGGCCAAACCGCGGCAATTGCATAATACGCTCTGGGGAATGATCTGCCCAGCCGAAACGCCAGAAGGAGCTGCTGTTGGCTTGGTCAAGAATTTAGCGCTGATGGCTTACATTTCGGTCGGTTCGCAGCCGTCGCCAATTCTAGAGTTCTTGGAGGAATGGTCCATGGAAAACTTGGAAGAAATTGCACCGTCCGCCATTGCTGATGCTACAAAGATTTTCGTAAATGGTTGCTGGGTCGGTATTCATCGTGATCCCGAACAATTGATGGCCACGCTGCGAAAACTGAGACGACAGATGGACATCATTGTATCGGAAGTATCAATGGTCCGAGATATTCGTGATCGAGAGATTCGTATTTACACTGATGCTGGTCGAATTTGTCGACCATTGCTTATCGTTGAAAACGGTCAGTTGTTGCTCAAGCGGAACAACGTTGAACTGCTGAAAGAGAGAGATTTCAACAACTACAACTGGCAGGTACTCGTCGCATCGGGCGTCGTTGAATACATTGATACATTGGAAGAGGAAACAGTCATGATTGCTATGTCACCTGATGACTTGAAGGAAAATAAAGAATATGCTTACTGTTCGACATACACACATTGTGAAATTCATCCGGCCATGATTTTGGGCGTTTGCGCATCAATTATCCCATTCCCCGATCACAACCAGAGTCCACGTAACACCTATCAAAGCGCTATGGGTAAACAAGCTATGGGCGTTTACATTACCAATTTCCACGTGCGAATGGACACTCTAGCTCACGTTCTCTACTACCCAATGAAACCGCTCGTTACCACACGATCGATGGAGTACTTGCGTTTCAGAGAATTGCCCGCTGGTATCAATTCAATTGTCGCTATTTTATGTTACACGGGATACAATCAGGTGAGGATATTGAGAATTACGTACAATTTTATCATTTTCTCTCGGAATCCGATCCGGATTTGACGTTGGAACAGAGAAGACCTTTAAGATTGTTCCAAAATGTACAAAGAATACGTTCGAAAACATGGACTAATCTATATGGGATTTCTCCTTCTATTTCAATTACAGGAAGATAGTGTTATCTTAAACGCATCAGCTGTAGAGCGTGGATTCTTCCGATCCGTGTTCTACCGTTCATACAAAGACTCAGAAAACAAACGAAGCGGCGAACAAGAGGAACAATTCGAAAAGCCCAACCGACAAACGTGTCAAGGCATGAGAAACGCTCTTTACGACAAATTGGATGATGATGGTATTATTGCGCCCGGTCTTCGTGTGTCCGGTGACGATGTGATTATTGGCAAAACAATTACGCTGGCTGAAAATGATGATGAGGTAAGGATTGATATCACACGAAGGATTCTTTGAATCCTAAGACACAACTTGACTTCGCACGGAGTCAGTCAAGCTGACTTTTATTTAACTTTTTGACAACATATTTCATCGTTTGCTAACGCTCACCTTTTTCATTTCAGTTGGAAGGAACAATCAAAAATTTCACAAAACGAGACGCCTCAACGTTTTTGCGAAACTCTGAAACTGGTATCGTGGATCAAGTCATGTTGACATTGAACAGTGAAGGCTACAAATTTTGCAAGATTCGTGTGCGATCGGTGCGTATCCCACAGATTGGTGACAAGTTTGCTTCTCGGCACGGACAAAAAGGTACCTGCGGTATTCAGTATCGACACGAAGACATGCCGTTCACATGCGAAGGCCTCGCACCTGATATCATAATTAATCCCCATGCCATTCCGTCTCGGATGACAATTGGCCATTTGATTGAGTGCTTGCAAGGGAAATTGGGATCAAACAAAGGTGAAATCGGTGACGCTACACCATTCAATGATGCGGTCAATGTACAGAAAATTTCTACATTCTTGCAAGAGTACGGTTACCATTTGCGAGGCAACGAAGTCATGTACAATGGCCATACGGGCAGAAAGATCAATGCACAAGTATTCTTGGGTCCGACATACTATCAGCGTCTTAAGCACATGGTCGACGACAAAATCCATTCCAGAGCTCGTGGACCGGTGCAGATTTTGGTGCGTCAACCTATGGAGGGTCGTGCACGTGATGGTGGTTTGCGTTTCGGTGAGATGGAGCGTGATTGTCAAATATCCCATGGTGCCGCTCAATTCCTGCGTGAACGTCTTTTCGAAGTGTCCGATCCGTATCGTGTACACATCTGTAACTTCTGCGGTTTGATTGCCATCGCTAACTTGAGAAACAACACATTCGAGTGCAAAGGATGCAAGAATAAGACACAGGTAAGCAAACAAACCCTTGGTTGGATTTCTATTGTATGATCTTAATCAATATATTAATACCATTTTAAATGTGATACGATTCAATATTTCGCATTTTCAGATCTCCCAAGTTCGGCTTCCTTACGCGGCAAAATTACTGTTCCAGGAATTGATGTCCATGAACATCGCTCCACGACTCATGGTCATCTAAGCCATCCGGCTTGTATTCATAAACAAATTTAAACATCTTTCATAGAAATTAAGATTCAATTCATTTAATTGCAAAGAAAAACACTTCTGCTGTACCAGAATTTGACGCAAATCAGTTACTTTTGTAATGAAATTAAAAAAAGATTTAATTGAGATATACTGAGAATGAGTTTTTTTCGAGTATTTTTAGTCAGGCACAATTTATGACAACTATCGATAACGCTGTCGTTGGTACTGCTGATCACAACAGAGTGATATTGCAAGTGGATAAATGACAGTTTTTACTGTTCTTCGGTTCAACACCAAATGAAATACAATATTTCAAACTCATAAATGGCCATCTGTGCGCGTGTGTTGAGGAATTTCTTTACGAGATCTCTATTGCATGGAGATTTTTTTCATGATGGAGAAAGACAAAAAATGGAAAAGACAGTCTAGAAAAGATGAGAGAAGAAAAACCAGACCTTTAAAAGAGATCTCACCTGAAAGAAAAAAAAACTGAAGAAATGAAAAAACCGTTTTTTGTGTACATACAATTTTTTATTAACGTTTTCTGGATATAGTTGATTGGTTTTAGTTTTTTCATTAAAAATTTCTGTCTCTGAATCTTAGCTTCATACGAACTGGTTACAGTCGAATTGGAATCTCTTTTTAGCTAAATCATTGCAGCGACAAAATAGACAAAGCTTACGCTCACCTTATCCAGGAGTTTTTCTCAATTTCATTTTTATTTGAGGGGATTTTAAGCGGTTTAGTTTGAAAACCGGCTTCAAAAAGACAAAAATTGACATTACTATCTCAGTCCATAAAAGTGACTACTGAATTTTATGCCTTCATATAAAAATACTTTCTTTCCGTCCATTTGAATTCATTTTTATTCCCATCTCGTACATTATTATCAATTGTTTTCTTTATATTCACTCTCGAATGCAATAAAAGTTCAGAATGTTATCAAAGGAATGGTTTATTTGAAGAAAAACTTGTTTGATTTCAAAGCTCGTAATCGTTTGATGTGAATGATGTGTATGTATTTGTGTTAAGGGGAGCATAGTGCGAGAGTGAGCTTGCGGAGTTTGATTTACCACTTGTGAGTGGCTGCATACTTGTCCAGCCCCTCCATAGAATAGTACTCGAATGAAGCACCCCTTGATTGACTCACACATTGTTATGCGCCGCACAATATGAACAGTCGATTGCAACACACATTCATACGCACACACACTCACACAAATACAGCCACTTGAACTTTAATAAACTACTCTCTCTCCAACACACCGACTCTGTGCATCCCCTTTTCACACGTACACACCATAATCATAATATATATAAAATGAAATGGGAAAAAAATCCACGGCTACAATAATAAACTTTCGAATGAATCAATTTGGTGTAGTAAATTTGTCAAGACATGTTGAGAATCAGTGTCAAACGCATCTCCACCATCATTGCTACAAACACCATCAGCACCTCGCTGTTCACAACGCCGTAAGATAATTTTCTTTTTGGTGCTGGTGCACTGCTTCCCTTTTTTCCACTCGCAACCAAAATCGACCATTTTTCTTTTCGTTTTTGTTTTTTTTTTTTGCTTTTTAAAGCATCCAAAATCCGAATTCGTTTCGCAAAGTTGCTTTTGTTGTTTTTGTCGTGTGAAATTTAATCGTCGGAAAAGTGCCAAATCATGAAGAATGTATGTGTGTAATTTGTTGAAGTAAAAAAAAAGAGTGATGATATTTCATCCGACGACAAACGAGAGAAAAATTAAATGGTGAATTCGAAACCAGTGCATCGCTTTTTGGTGTGACAATCACAAAACAACGAGCGGCATCATTCTAGTTTTAATCTTTTTGAAGGCAGCAGTGATCCAATTCAATCTTGTTGAAAGTAGCTTTCAATAAGGAGCGCCACTTTTTTTTCGCGTGAAAAACGATGTGATTTTTTGTTTAACTCAGAACGAAATATATAAAAAAGCAACACAACACTTATCAGCAATCGCATATCGGATTTTTTTTTCCCACAACAAATGATTCGTAAGTCTTTATTTTTCCTTTTGAAAAGAAAAAAGAAAAAACTAACAACAAATTTCAAAGTAAAAAATCGAATTATAAAGTTTAGTGAAGAGAAAAATAAAATCAAACTTGTAGTGTTTCGAAAAGAAAGGGAAAAAAAACCAACGACAAATTGTCACTCACCTTTATCTTTTTTTTGCAGAGAGTAATTTCCGCGCAAAGGAGATAGCCAATTGCATGCTATTCATTTTCATGTGATTTTCATATCGTGTCAATCATCAAATAAGACTCGATGTCAAAGTTTCATTCAAATCGAAAAAATGAGATGGAATTTCGTATCGGCGATAATGAATGTCGCATCACTTGGTTTCTGGCCATTTATACGGCGAAAAAACTTTTTTATCGTTTGGATTAGTGTCGTTCTCTTTACCAGCGATATTCATCAAATCAATGGAGAACCCAATAAAAGTTGTAAGTAGACACATTTATCGCTCTAAGTCTCGCAAATTGGTTTTTCTCTCTCTCTCTCTCTCTCTCTCTCTCTCTCTCTCTTTCTCTCGATGTTGTTGTTGTTGTTGTTTGCTTGTTAGAAATATTCCGTTGACTTTTCAACAAGTTTTATATAATCGCACCGGTTTCACACTTTTACAAAACTTTTCACTTGCCGAATGCTGGCGGTACCTACCTCTCTTGAAGAAGCTCATTTACATTCTTAGCACATAATTTCGTGAATAATTTGTAAAAAGGTGCAAATAAAGTTACAGCAAATAAACTTCAATGATGATAAATCTAGCTCTGTGTGTGTTGTATACAAAAAGCATGATTAATTATTTGTCTTAATAATTTTTTATTTGTTTTACTTTCTTTCTCGATTTGGTAGTCCAAATGAAAACTTTGTGCAAGGCTCATTTCTTGCAAATGGTCTATCGGAAAACGGACGGTGCTGTACTGTGGTCGCAAAACGAACGCAACTTGGATTGTATGTTAATCATATTCCTATGTTTAGCTGAACCGAATAACAAAAATGAAATGTATTTGTTCACAGGTGCGTTAACATTTCAAACACATTCCATTCTGCAGCGATTTTTGGTACGCTTTGATGCTCTTCAATTGGACTGTAACGATCATCTTTACATTTATGATGGAGCACATGCAACAGGAGCACCTAAAGTATATTCATTGTCAATGAAGCGAATTGTTTGGGCTTTTGTTTTTTTTAACAAGAAAAGTTTTTTTTCACTTTTGCAGATGGACATTTCTTGTCGAAATACAAAGCAATCAGTTGGAAACATTATCACTCAAAGTAACTTTCTGACGCTTAAATACATGACCGATGGCTGGGGCACCGATTCCAATGGATTCAAACTCGTTCTAACGGCCATTAAGAATATCAGTAAGTTTTGATTTGTTCACTGCTTATGGAAACAATTGGCTCGTTATAAATCTTCCGTTCAAATCGGAAAGGCGAAAAATTCGGAAGATGAAAATGACAAAACGGCAAAAAAAATTGGCATTTTTTGCAATAGTTCTGAAGTAATTTTGTTCAATATTGTCAATTTCATTGCCCGTTGTGTTGAAATTAATTTCCTAATGTTATTGGAAGACACACGTCATTGCGTGTACGAAAAGAAAGTGGCTGCTTCAAAACCAACTGTTTTTTGTGTTTCGATCCATGAAACAAATTTTACCTACTGGTGTGGAATTTTTCTATTGAATTTATTTTTATTTTTAAGAGTTCGATTTTGGAATAGAATTCAATTGGGTTTGACAGCTTTAGATATTTATGTTGAAGATACATTCTTTTGAGTCCATGCAATAGCAAAAAAATTATGACAATTATTATCAAGTGGATAAAAGACATATCTGGCGGAACATGACGTTCGTTTTTCGTCTTAGTAGTCATGTGGAAGACGTACGAAAAATATTGTGCGACAAAGAGTACGTAGACAGTGTATTTAGCTAATATCAGCTGAGCTCAGCTAGATATTTTCAGTTAGCACGCTGACATTAGCTAAATTGTCTGAGAATATGTTTTACTTCGCACCGAGATAAAGAGTAATTCCGTATGAATCATCCAAAATAATTTGAACAAATATACAAACAATCTATAAACACAAATGCACTCACATGCTAAATGTAAGTGCAAACATATATATACATGCCCGATGTGTTATCGTTTTGCTGAATAACAATTTTCAATCGAATTGAAAAGGCGATGCGCAGTGAAATTTCGTTTTTTTCCCTCAATTATTGTGGTTTAGAAATGAAATAAAACAAACAATTTTTACAAAAATATTTATTTTCTTCATAAACCTTTCTGTACTACTACGATTCCCAGAATACCACCACGTAGTTGTATTGTTCCCGAAGAACGTCTTGTTCCACCAGATTTGTCTGTTATTGTTATTCAGTATGCAAATCTTCCATTTTCTTCTCAAAATACTTCTTATTTTTTCGATCTGAACCATCTTTTCCAAAATTAGTAATAATTACTTTACACAAAATGTCGATGATCTTCAAGTACTTTTTCCCATTTTACGTCATTCTGTTAACACATTTTCGATACAAATACGGTTTCTACACAATATGATCCAAACACAAATTGTTCACTCTTTTTTTATTTTTATTCACAAAAAAATGAGTTTCTTCGCAACTTCAAATTGTGCTCAATTGTTGCACGACTGAAACCAAAAATTTTGTGTTTATCGAAGGACCGAATTGACTTCTTCTAAATGAAAGACAAGCGGTATTCATAGTAACGGTATGAAACTTTAATTCAAATAAGCAATGTACAGTGTACGTGGTTTATGTATATGCGGAAGGCATTTTATAAACAAAATTAGCAAAAAAAAGTAGAATGAGCAAATAAGAAATGAAAGTTGACAAATAATTTTATATGCGGAAACGCAAATATATGTCAATGGGACACAACGACGGAGGGACTTATTACAAGCCCAATCGATTCCAGGTTATCGGTCCGACGATGCCGTCTACGGTGATCCCAACTCGCCTTTGGAACTGTTTCACGGCCGCAAAAGTTGCAGGGCCAAATTCGCCGTCGACGTCGAGATTGCTTCCGATACTTCTATTGAGCCGGGCTTGAAGGATGCGCACATCATTACCTTTTGCTCCCTGTCGGAGGGTTGGTCGGGTTGCCGCAGATGGTGGGGATCCATTGAACAATCGATTCCAGGTCACCGGTCCGACGATGCCGTCTACGGTGATCCCAACTTGCCGCTGGAACCTTTTCACGGCCGCAAAAGTTGCAGGGCCAAATTCGCCGTCGACGACGAGATTGCCTGGGAGTTTGCTATTGAGCCGGAATTGAAGGGTGCGCACATTTTCGCCTTTATCTCCCTGTCGAAGGGTTGGTGGTATCCCTTGTGCAATGAAAATGAGTAGATTTTGTATGAGATTCAGTCAAGTTTAAGTCGATTAATTTGGGACAAATTTACTATAAATTTGGTCACATTAAATCATATTGAAATTAAAATCATGTTAACTTAAGATAAGCGACTATAATCACTTTCAGTCAACTTAAGTTCACTCAACTCAACTTTTGGACAACTTGAGTTAAAATAATTTTAAAGTGACTAAAGGTGATTTAAATTGATTAAAAGTGACTTAAATTAACTTAACTTTCTAATGCATACAACCGCCTCTAGACGGGCAACATTTGAACGCCTGTAGAACGTAAACCGTACATCGGATCACATTGCTTGGAAAAGAATTTTTATTTGTCAATGTTCTCTCTTCATTTTTGTCTTTGGCAATATTTGTCTTTGTAATGTGATTGTAAAGTTATAAACGAATGTCCGAGAATGAAAACGCAACTTCTATTCACAACACATATAAGTGAAACAAAAATAAAAAAA